ATTTAGCTGGGAATCATTTAAGCAAGCTTCACAACAGTGGTGACGGGGATGGGATTCGAACCCACGCGGGGAAACCCAAATGGATTATCAAATGAAGCAACGTTAGCAGATGGGGTCCCATGATAAACGATGACCAAGAATACGTTCACACGTCATTGTTGTCTCAGCATCATCTAGGAGCACATGTTCTCGATCGGTTTGTAATCGGGGTTTTCAAACTCTCCTATGTACATCTTTCGTACCCCACTAACGTGATTTGAACCCCGTCTAGACATTCGTTTTTTGTCCATCAGCAAGAGCCCCGCCACGAGAAAGTAGTGGGTAGTTCCCTAGTAGTGGCTATACATGCTTGGCCGCATAAAAGTACTTTGGTAGGGAGAGTGAACTGTCCCCTCACTCTCTCGGTCGTAAAAAAGGGCAGTTACATATCAATGTAGAGGGATCGTAGAGATTACGAACAGACTGTAACTAGTGAAAATCCGATAGAACTGAATAAGTGTTTCGAAAATGCACAGAATGTCTGAGAAGTGTGCACGCACAATCTTACAAGGAGTAAAATACAAGATAACTAGACTTTGTGGAGAACAATTAATCTTCAAAGTACACAGTTAGTATTCAGTGATATATACATTTCTATTTTGAGTAAATTCGTTGTCAACGGCTTCTCGGGTATTTAATAGTTGCCTAACAGTAATCATTAGTCTGTGATGTATATCATAGAATTCATCAGTAACCTACTTAAATCTATATTTAGGAAGGAGTTGACCAAGTAATAGATGTCACTTTCCCCATAGTTTTCAATTATTATGAGATAGTGAGCCAATCAGAAGTCGCTGCTAAATGAGAAGGCCATTTGATGGCTTTCAGACAATGTCATAAAGGACGAATACGAGGAAGGTCAAGGAATGGCTTCCTTTCCCAAGGAGATGTAATGTATACATATTATATATATATATTTTTTTTTTTCAGTAACCAAGTACACTATCTTTACAACTCCAGTCTTCTCGCTCAGAACGTCAATCAGTCAGTTGCAACGACGATCTTTGTACGTATGTACATAAGTTCAGGTTGCCATACCACATTAGCACAGAGACGCAAATGTCAAATCAAATCCCATAGTGATAGAGATGGTAGAGGTATTAATGGTAATGAAGAAGACTAGGGTTCGAAGATATTATTCAAGAAGTATAATTCAGTGAGATAAGGTTAAAAAGACAAAGGTAGAAGTGCTGACGAATCCAGAAGATTAGGATTTCAGAGAGCACAACGAATGGATGCACTTGCGCCATTGCAAACGATTTTGAGCCATGTCATTCAAGGTCTCTAACCATTGGTGACTTTCGTCTCGCGGACCCCAACCAGGTAGTCTACATCTAGCAACATGACTCATTCAACTTGTAAGTGACTCCATGGATTTGTGCCTTGTTTTGGTCTGGCCGCCACAATCTTTCATCCAACGTACTCCTACACCACAAAACATAGCTCGTCGAAGCAGTCGTTGGTTAGGCATTCGTAATACATGTCCCAACCACATCAACTGATGACGTTCCAATACTTCATCTATTGATCTGCCATCCTTACCTAGTACTCGTTTCCTAACAATAGCATTGCTTTTACGGTTGTCCCATGATACTCGAGCAATGCTTCTAAGACATTTATGATCGAATACTAGTAACCTACGAACATCTCCTACTCTTGCCGGCCATGTTTCGCATCCATATAGGAGAACGGAGCGAACTGCCGCGCAGTACACTCGTCCTTTGGTTAGTGAACTGATATCTCGCCTACCCCATAAACGGCGTAAACTGGCAAAAGCAAATCGAGCTTTCTGTATCCGCGCTGACATTTCGTCAGTCACCAAGTGACATGTTTCTTGTCTGGAGCACCGCACCGCACATCACAATACAATATTACTCTGAAGACAATTTGTTAAACAGCATAAAACTCTTCTCTCATAAAAATCAGACTTCAACATATTGAAATCAGAAATTAGCAAGGCACTTACACCTTTAGGAAGTGATTTCATTTGTTTTTCATGTATTGTTGATAAATGTTTTAATTTACTACGTAATTCAGCTTGTGTTTTTTGTAAAGCTAAAGCTTCAGGTGTTTCTAATAGAATATCACTTTCATTTAATATATTTGAATTATCTTTATTATTATCATCCGATGATGGATCTAATTCAGTGGATAAACCATTTGATGCAATTGGATGAAATTTATCTAATAAACTTTGTCCATAAATTTTATAATGTAATTGAATCTATGAACAAAAAAAAAATACAAAAACATAAACATAGTGGGGAGTGTAATTTTTATGAGTAGATAATATTATTCAACAACACTAGTAGTTAAAAAAATTAGCTAAATTGACAATGATCTTATATTCATCATTGAGTAGCTTTGAGAGGGAATTGTTATAGTTCTAGTGAAAGGGTATGTTATGCCTGCATGTAAACACGTCAACTTGATATGCTTGAAGTATTACTGTGGTGCTGTGGTGCGAACTACTTATAAGTAGTATATAACGTGAGTGTAAACGTAAAGTCTGGTAGCATAATATGGGGGAAGATCAAGAAAGGAAGAGTTAGAAAACAATGGAATTTGTATGAAACGCATGAATAGTAGTGACAATGGATTGATGTTTGACAACAGGAACAGTCCATTTCCTTAGGATGAACTGATCTTTTGCAAATGAACGATTTACGATATGGTTTTCCGATTTTACTGAGTAACTGTGTAATTTTCGTTAAATGCAATTCGGTTGCCCCACCTGTGTTCTCATTCACTACATTACGAGTTTACCTAGTCGGAAAACGAGAGCGAGGATCGAGGATCCGGTGACACGACATGCTACTCAAATCCGATTATCCCAACCCCCATATTGAGTGAAAATAAGAAGACAAGACTTGATATGAAGTAGAACCTGTATTCTACAAGCATCCAGAAAGTACGAGGTTCGAATCCAGAAGAGAATCAGGATCCCAGACTGGGCATCCGGGACCGGGTCCTGGTCCTGGTCATTAAACGTTACAGATATTGGGTATTTATACATTTAGGTCAAATAGGAAACAGCATCGAAGTCTGTGACATTGACAGTTAAGACGACCGATAGGAAGCAACATTTGAAATGACATTGATAGTCAGGACAACCAATAAGAAAGAACATTGGAGCACGTGACACTGATATGTAGGATGACCATAAAATTGACCAGTAGGAATTAACCAAAATAAGAATAGACCAATAATTCTCTTAGGATATTGGATGAATATCCTAACAAGGTATGACTAGTGAAGTTCAACCGTGTGTCAGATATGTGGCAGACAATGAATGACAGTCACGCAAAATCACGGACACTAACACCACCGGATGTCGGTTGAGTGATCTAGAGGTTAAGTGTTCGCGTACGAGATCAAAGGTCCTGAGTTCGATTCTTCTATGAGGGATCATGGATGTGCATTGCTGACGAGACCTACATTAACACGAAACGGCCATTGAGTGCTTCCAGGTTCTAGAGGGTGGTCCAACATCAATCTGTTCATGATTTTGATAAAATTAACTATGTTTCATCATGGTGCCAGACAGTGGTAAAGACGAATTTCATAGATTTGATGAGAACATCAATGCACTCTATGAGTAATCAACGGTTTTATAATTGTAAAAATATCACAATTAAAGACATTTTGAATACATCTTGTTCGTAATTCGGAAAGAATAAAGGGACAGAGTTGTTAGCAAACCTCTCATATATAACATTTCTCATCAGATACGTTACCATATAGTCTTAAACATTAAATTAAAGACGCCCCTAATATTAAGAAATTCAAGTTCGATGGCTTGTAGTAATTACAGGGATGATTTAACATTTGATGGAAAGTGAAGATATAACCAAAACATTCACGATCAAACCAAAAACCATCCAATTCGATGACAGCCAGTATCTCACGGTTAAAATACATAAACATCATAAACACCAGGGGTTCCAAAGCGGATGAAAGTTTAGCGAACTCAATTATGAGAGAATAAGCACAACGAATGATTCATTAGCTACTTTGTGATCATTACTCTTATTCTTGATGAATCCATAAATTTTCTATTATACTATTGACCACGTATGTGACAGACTTAATTCCACAAGATATATTCTATCAGATAATGAGCAGTTAGATTCAGCAGTAAAATGTCAGGTCTACAATGTCTCAATGAGAGCAGTTTTGATTTATTCTGTCGAATCGGACTTTCTTTAAATTGACGATGTTAAGCAACTCTCCGTGTTTAATTATCGCTATTTCCGAAGGATAGTTGACATTCAGTGGCAATATCAGATTAGCAATGCTGAGATATGGCAATGTATGTTTAGTCACAGAGACGATTATTTCAGTTAATGTTACCGTCTTGAAACACTCACACAGTGAGCACGTGTAATCTAGCTTTTCCTCCCAACGCGAAGGGGGGGAGGAGGCGCGCGACCACCCCCCCATCGCGTAGGGAGGAAAAGCTAGATTACACGTGCTCACTGTGTGAGTGTTTCAAGACGGTAACATTAACTGAAATAATCGTCTCTGTGACTAAACATACATTGCCAAATCTCAGCATTACTAATATGATGTTGCTACTGAATGTCAACTATCCTTCGGAAATGGCGGTAATTAAACACGGAGAGTTGCTTAACATGGCCAATTTAAAGAAGGTCAAATTGGACAAAATAAATCAAAACTCCTCTCATTGAGACATTGTAGACCTGACATTTTACTGCTAAATTTAACCGCTCATTATCTGATAGAGTATATGTCTCACATACATGCACAATAGTATAATGGAAAATTTATGGATTCATCAAAAATAAGAGTAATGATCACAGAGTAGCTAATGAGCCATTCGTTGTGCTTATTCTCTCATAACTGAGTTCGCTAAACTTTCATCCGCGTTGATGTTCATGTGTTTCAACCATGAAAGACTGACTTACATCGAATTGGTTGGTTTTTGGCTAGGTCATGAATGTTTTGGATACATCTTCACCTCGCAACAATTGTTAGATTATATCTATACTTACTACAAGCCAACGATTTTTGTATATCTGGATATTAAGGGTGTCTTAGATTGAATGGTTAAAACTATATGGTAACGTATCTGTTGAGAAATGATATACATGAGAGGTTTACTAACAACTCAATGTCTCTTTACTCTTTCCGAATTACAAACAAGATGTATTCAAAATGTCTTTAATTGTGATATTTTTACAATTATGCAACCGTTGATTACTCATAGAGTACATTGACGTTCTCATCAAATCTATGAAATTTGTCTTTACAACTGTCTCTAGCACTATGATCAAATATAGTTAATTTTGTCAAAATCATGAATTGATTGATGTTGGATCACCATCCAGAACCTGGAAGCACTGAATGGCCGTTTCGTCCTACTGTAGGACTCGTCAGCGGTGCACATCCGCAATCCTTCTCAGAAGAATCGAACTCAGGACCTTTGATCTCGTACGCGAACAAGTAACCTCTAAACCACTGAACCAGCATCCTATGGTGTTAATGTCCGTGATTTTGCGTGACTGTCATTCATTGTCTGCCACATATCTGACACATGATTGAACTTCACTATTCATACCCTGTTAGGATATTCATCCAATATCCTAAGAGAATTATTGGTCAGTTCCTATTGGTTAATTCCTACTGATCAATTTTATGGTCGTCCTAGATATCAATGTCACGTGCTCCAATGTTGTTTCTTATTGGTTGTCCTGACTATCAATGTCACTTCAAATGTTGCTTCCTATCGGTCGTCTTAACTGTCAATGTCACAGACTTCGATGCTGTTTCCTATTCAACCGAAATGTATAAATACGCAATATCTGTAACGTTTTATGACCAGGATCAGGACCCGGACCCTTGTCCGCGATCCTGATTCTCTTCTGGATTCGAACCTCCTACTTTCTGGATGCTTGTAGAATACAGGTTCTACTTCATATCAAGTCTTGTCTTCTTATTTTCACTCAATATGAGGGTTGGGATGATCGGATTTGTGTAGCATGTCGTGTCACCGGATCCTCGATCCTCGCTCTCGTTTTCCGACTAGGTAAACTCGTAATGTAGTGAATGAGAACACAGGTGGGGCAACCGAATTGTATTTAACGAAAATTACAGAGTAACTCAGTAAAATCGGAAAACCATATCGTAAATCGTTCATTTGCAAAAGATCAGTTCATCCTATGGAACTGGACTGTTCCTGTTGCCAAACATCAATCCATTGTCACTATTCATGCGTTTCATACAAATTCGATTGTTTTCTAACTCTTCCTTTCTTGATCTTCCCCCCATATTATGCTACCAGACTTTACGTTGACACTCACGTTATATACTACTTATAAGTAGTTCGCACCACAGCACCACAGTAATAGTTCAAGCATATCAAGTTGACGTGTTTACATGCAGGCATAACATACCCTTTCACTAGAACTATAACAATTCCCTCTCGAATCTACTCACTGTTGAATACTAGTGTTGTTGAATAATATTATCTACTCATAAAAATTACACTCCCCACTATGTTTGTGTTTTGTATTTTTTTTTTGTTCATAGATTCAATTACATCATAAAATTTATGGACAAAGTTTATTAGATAAATTTCATCCAATTGCATCAAATGGTTTATCCACTGAATTAGATCCATCATCGGATGATAATAATAAAGATAATTCAAATATATTAAATGAAAGTGATATTCTATTAGAAACACCTGAAGCATTAGCTTTACAAAAAACACAAGCTGAATTACGTAGTAAATTAAAACATTTATCAACAACACATGAAAAACAAGTGAAATCTCTTCCTAAAGGTGTAAGTACTTTGCTAATTTCTGATTTCAATATGTTGAAGTTTTATTTTTATGAGAGAAGAGTTTTATGCTGTTTAACAAATGGTCTTCAGTGTAATATTGTGTTGTAATGTGCGGTGCTACAGATAAGAAACATGTTACCTGGTGACTGACGAAATCTCAGCGCGGATACAGAAAGCTCGATTGGCTTTTGCCAGTTTGCGCCGTTTTTGGCGTAGGCGAGATATCAGTTCGCTAACCAATGGACGAGTGTACTGCGCGGCAGTTCGCTCCGTTCTCCTATATGGATGCGAAACATGGACGTTAAGAGTAGAAGATGTTCGTAGGTTACTAGTATTCGATCATCAGTGTCTACGGAGCATTGCTCGTGTATCCTGGGACGACCGAGTAACCAATGCTGCCGTTAGGAAACGAGT